CACGGACCTGAATCACCCCCAGGCGGTGTCAACTGGATGCAGTATTCAGAGACACGCAGAATTTCTGGACTTGACGTGGCATTGCTCCAGGAACATTTGCATTTTCCTCTCTTCCTGCTCCCCACAAACGTACTCCAGTCTCTCCCGCTCCACCTCCAGCCACAATCACCTTCACCAGCAGCTGTTTATGTCGATCTCCAGCCTCATTTATTCCCCCTTTACCCACATCCTCATCCCCAGAACTAAAGCATCAGATCAGCACCACCTGGGAACTTGTTAGGAATGCAAATCTCGAACCCACTGCAGACCTGCATCAAAACCTCTGAGGTTTTAACCTGTGCTAACAAGCCCTGCCCCCCCCCCCCCCGGGGTTCAGAGGCACAGTTGAGACTCTGCTTTACCTGAAAGGACAGCCCAGGAGCTGAGCCACAGCAAGGTCCCCCTCTCTCCCCTGCCGGTCAGCTGAGTCTCTTGTCCCCAGTCTCCTGAGCTGGCATTACAGAAGTCTGGAAAACAAGCTGGCCGAGACAGAACTCAGGGGGCGAGCAATGGCAGCAGACAGCCTTCTCTGAAGGAATGGGGGTGGAGGAGAAGGGGACCCTCACACACCAGGGAACCTTGTGTCTTCCCTACCACCCAGAACTGGGATCGCTACCACGAGGCAAGGAGACTACACTGGTGTCCAGGGGCTCCCTTTCGCCGGAGTCGTCCCGGAGCTGGCCTTAATCCTCTGCAGCAGACGCCCAGGACCCAGCTGCTTCCTACCCAGAGCTGGAGACTGCCCCCCTCTTCAGAGGTCAGGCCCACCCCTTCTGGGGCTACTAATGGGGCCGCACTGAGTCAAGTCCACAGGAATGGTGGGACCTCTGGCACTAGCAGGATGGATTCATGTGTCACTCTGGGGCAGGAAAGAACACTTCCTCCCACCCCCCCATCCCTGCCCAGGGGCTGGTGCCCAGGCCTCCAGGAGGTGCTCTGCTCCTAAGGCTGCCCGTCAACATTGTTCTTCAGAAGCCTGGGCTCCTGGCAGGATAAGGACAAGAAAGAAAGTTTCTCCCAGCCCTGGGCCAGCTGTTCCTTGTACTGCTAGTGGGGCCTCACAGTACCTTTCTCTTCCTGTCGGTCTTCTACAGCCATCAGCTCATGTGCTGGACAGGACTGGTATGATGAAGAAACTGGGGCTCCTAGAGGTTTTTTTCAAGTCAAAATGTGGCCCATGATCAGCATCACCTAGGAGCTTGTTAGAACTATAGCCCCGCTAGCCCCGCTCTGACCTACTGAATCAGGATCTGCCTTTTAGCAAGATCCCCTGCTGCGAGTGAGAAGCACTGGGCTGGATACTTAGCCAGATCTGGGGTCACCCCAATATTCTCTTATAACAAATGATGCCACACTTTGAGTGATAAGGACCTAGGCCCTAGGGGTTTCCTAGCAAAAGCCTGTAACAGAACCTCTGCTCTCTAGTGTGAGGCCTCTGTTAAATACACTGCTTTTGCTTTTAGCTGCCCTGAAGGAGAGATGGCCATCTGTATTCTCCAACTCGGACTCATCTTGGGAGTGAAGTCTTTACCAAGTAGGACCCAAGGCAAAGAAGAGCGACACCGCCCTCCGGTGGCAGCTTCGACACAGCCGCTCCGCTGGCAGAGGCGGTCAGACAGGCTGGACTCGGGGAGCCGGGGCTGCTCCAGAGCACACTATATTCAGAGGGGATTGTTTGGAGGACAAAGGCCCCCTATTCTAGCCACACAACTTTCCAGGTTAACATTCTTCAAAACAGCTGGAGTCGGGAATCCGGGCTTTGCCATCCACTTGTTCTGTGAGTTTTGCCTGCTGTGGCCCTTTCCTTATTCAGAAAGGAGTTGGATATGATCTCTAAGTATAGTTCTGTTCTTCGCTGAAAACACTGCACTAACATTTCACTGAGCACCTGCTCTACATTCCGTGCTCCACGCGGGCTGCTGTGATGTAGGCAGGCGAGATTTGGAATGGATTAAGACCAGGATTGGTCACAGAGGGAAGGCCCGATCCTATCCCACACATCTCAGAAGCTGAGCCATTAAGGTGGTTTTCCAAGTGATTCCAGCTTTCTTTTCCCCAAGCATTAGTCAAATCTTAACTGAGTGGCAGACCAGAATGCTTTAAATTTTAAAGTGCGTGTAGAAAAAACAATATACGTGGTGGGGAAGGACCTGCTCGCTTGTAATAAGAAAAGTAGAAAAGTATTTTAAGTGTTCTTTCTCCCTTCATTGATCCAGGGCCCCAAATCTAATGGTCCACCTGGCCTTCGAAGGATGTAAACCCAGACGTGACTAATGAAAAAGGCCTCAAACACAGCTCTCTATATTCTTCCCTCCCCCACGCCGCGCCCCCCCAACACCCCACACCCCACCCCCCAACCCCCGGCTCGTTGTGCTGCAACCTGGCAAGTCCCACAGAGGACTTAGAAGTATTTTACCTGTCCTTACAAAATTGCACCAAACCCTCCCTTCTTGTGCCAAAACTGGAGTGGCAAGGTCATGATTAGTCTGGCCTTTCCCGCGGGTATTGGACACATCTGGAAAGCATTCTGAAATTGTTTCACATCCTCTGAGGTCTCCTTCTCTGAGTGTTGCTCCTTCCTCAACATGCCATTTTCCCATCTTGCCTCCCAGCCTGCTGCTTCAGAGGTCACCTCCTTCATTTCTCCACTGAAGGCACCTGCTCCGAGTAGCAGTCCCCACCTCACGGTGGACAAGAGCATCGAGGGTCATGTCCCAGGGCCGCCCCAGCCAGAGGTGCGGGAGAACCACTCAGGAAAGGAATGCACTGGCAGCTCCAAGACTGCCATGGTCTCCAGCAACCGATGGAAACGATCCCCTTGTGCACACAGGGCAGTGGGCCCAGGCTAGACTGCCCAAGCTCCTTCCTCCCAAGGCCAAACGTCTTCAGTAAGTGCTCTCCACCTGGGCCTCACTGCACATCCCGGAAGCCCTCCTCCCACCCTCCTACAGCACGCCCACAGGGCATAACCCTGCAGGCCACTGCCCCTCACTTCCCAAACGCCCGTCCTCCCCAACATGCCTCATGCACCGCACGGTCATTCCCCTCTGGCAGCTTGTTTGCTTCAAAGCTTCCACTTTCTCTCCCTGATTCATCCAAATATGACCCACCTTCACAGGCACAGCCTGACCCCTGAAGCTTCCTTCCACACTCACCTGTAGCTTCAGAATCCACCTTGTAGGACTTCCCCATCTTATCCAGAGTCCCACCATCTTATCCGTGACTGCTACAGACTTGAAGCTCCCCATGTCTGTTACGTCTTGTGTTCCAGGTTTGAAACCATGGAACTATTCTCTTAAAAATACACTTCTAGATTTTTAAACATTATAAAATTCCAAAATGCTGATTAGAAGAATCTTAAAAAATACAAACAAGCAAAACATTTACAAACAGAAATCACCCACAATCCCACCTTGGGAGAAAACCATTTCATTTTGAAACATCTATCATCCAGTTTTGGTTTTCGTACAAATATTTCTTGGTCTTTCCAAACATGAGAAGTTGTGCATACTGTTTTATAACCTGTATTTCTCACGTAAAAAAGAATGTTAAAGCCACTTAAAGAAAAATGGTTCGGGTATTATCATAAACCATAAACACAATAGCAGGCCCCTGGAGCCTGCCTTGCATCACCTTGTCATTACCCCACAACAGTTAACCCCTTCCCCAACTTCTAACAGCATAGCTTTGTCTTAAAGTGAGCTCTAATATCCCCACTTTCCTCCGGTTTTAAGACCTACCATTCCCCTCTTCATTTGGCTCTTCCCCTCAAGCATGAGTCATTTTAGAAGTCCCACTAACTCCAGCTTCCCCAGGCCCAACTCGCCCTGTACACACCACACAAGCTTCCCTCGACATTGTCAGCCGCAGGCTGAAAGATCTAAATAGCCCAATATGCCATGCCTGACAAGCAGCACTTGAGCTGCTTAAAAGGCCTCTCAAAAGCCACTGGTCGGCCCAGCCAGCATGGCTCTGTGATTGAGCGGAGGTCACAGTTCCATTCCTGGTCAGGACACATGCGGGTTGTGGGCTCGATCCCGTGTGGAGCGTGCAGGAGGCAGCCGATCAATGATACTCTCTCGTCATTGATGTCTCTCTCTCCCTTCCTTTCTGAAATCAATTTTTAAAAAGCCGAATGCCTCTGCGTGAGCTCTGAAAGTTCACCATGAGCTGAAGCTGCCCTGTCGAAGCCCTAGCTTTGCTTATAACACCCTCTTCCCCAGGGACATGCAGGAACACTGGCACCTCTTCTGGGTAAACAGGACTGTTACTTTCCTGTTAACCCCAACTCCCCTGTAAAAGGACTATGCTCTGGATTCCCACTCCTCTGCCATGGGTGGAGGCCCAGGAGAAAACCCACCTTACTACAGACGCGTTTCTGAAGGTGGCTGGCAGAGGCCCTGCTGGCCAGCCCTGGCAGGTAAGCGCCTCCTAGCACAACCAGAGGACAGGACTGTAAAGTGGCTGGACCCTTCCCCTTCAAGGCCCCATGCCTCATAGTTAGGTTCTCTCCTCATGGCTCCATCCCTTCAACACGCTTCACCCACATATACACCAACACACATGCACCTGTGTGCACACACCATATTCCCAGTGGTGGCAACTGTTACTAGCACACTCTGGGCCATGCTCTATTCTTTAAAAGGGCAGACATCAGTCCTGGTGCTGATCTTTATGGGGCCATAACCCACCCTCTACTATTGTCAAATCCCGCAAAGGAAAGCCCAGTCACAGGAACAAGGTAAGGATTCCTAAGTCGGAGAAGTAAGCCAAGATTCAACACAGAATGAGCACAGAAGAGCCGCTTCTCCCACCCAGTGTGCTGTGCCTCAACTGCTCAGACTAGAGGTCTCTGACAAATTAGCTAAGAGGGCTTTTTGTTGTAAACACGCGCGCGCACACACACACTCACTCACTCTCTCTCCTCTCCACTATGAAATTAAGGAAACCATTCTTTTAAGTGTAAGACAGGTTTCTTTTATTAATTTTCCCTAAACTTGTCTCATGTTTACTGAATGTTTTTCTTCGTGTAAGAACGTGACCTGGAGCTTTAACAAACCAATTTGGATAACGCAACCTGAATAAATGCTCGTCTGCACATAAGTCATCAATTATCACACTCTCTGGCCTGGCCGCCATGTAAATCCAAATGGTCTTAAAGCCTATCTAAACAGAGAGTAAGCAGACCATATCATCTTAGTTCTAAACTTTAAACTTCAAATTTACTCCTATCCCGACACCCACACCCTCCCCCACACACAAATTTATTTATTTTTTTTTATTAGAAATGGCCTTTAAGGACTGAGTTAGTTGCAAAGAGTTGGCTTAATCCTGCAGCTAGCACTCAAAAGTAGCTGGAACTCTGGAAGCATGACAGGTAGAGATGAGTCAAGGATGCTCTAAGAACGGGGCCAATTCCTGGCTCCCACGCATGCTTACACACCAACATAAAACACTTCCACCTCCCCTTCTCTCTCAGCAAAGTCTCTATAGCACTTTAGAAGTTGTTAACACCCTAAAATTTTTTAGTGCGCAGATGGACAGAATACACAAGGTATATTATATTTCTAACAACATTAGGCCAAAATTAACAGAGAGACACTCTGTTATACAGAGTAACAATTATTACAATGATCCAAAATGTAACCAACAAAGCTTACAGGTTTTTAGGGTAGGTACCAGCTCTGGCCTCTAATACAGGCTTCCCTTGGAGTTCCCCAAGTGCCTCACTCCTATCAACAATGCCCCAAATGGCAGTCACAGGAAATGCTTTGGTGCTCCTGACATCGGCTGCACAGTAAGAATGAGGTGTTGCTAGAGTCAAGCACCACACTTCTTTAACACTAATTTCAGAGTTATCCAGTACAACCCAGTGTATCTTAGTTTTTTGTATGATCTGTCAGCTGTTTAAAATGTACAAATTGGCATATTCATGACAGATATTAACACTTAACACATAGTGATTGTGAATGAGATTAAAAAATTTGTTTAACTCTGGTCCTAGAACTTCAGGCTATACCTCAAATTTATAGAACATCTCTCAGCTGAATAAGGAGGCCAGGATACAAATCTCTGCACCATAATTAATAAGAATCAATTTATCATACTTACATCCAACAATACATCTACCCGATTCTAAATTCCCAAAGAGAAGATTATTCAGAGACTTGGCGCCTGGGATAAGAGTGAAATACTTCAGGACGTAATTTCTAAGGGCTTTCAGGTCTACAATCCTCAGCTAACTTGCTCCAGGGAAGGGGCCTGTTTCCCCGGAGCAGCACACAGCTTTTGTAATGGGAGCTCCTTCACGGGGCAGGGACTAGGAAAAGGGTGGGAGTTGAGGTGAAGCCAAATCGGGAAACTCAGAGCGAGCATACCTGTTACTCTGTATTAATCCATGCCATGCCATGCTCTAGCCCTCTAGCCCCACCCCCGTCCCCACACCAGGCGGGGAGACCTTGTGGCAATCTCCACCACAGATTTTTGAAGCGCAATTAGGGTTCCTGCCATGTATGTCTTAATGAAAAGTCTGCTTGATAGTGGGTTATAGTTTTTGCTATAGCTCAACTTCTGGAAACAAACGTATCTTTGTATAAGCACAATTTAAACATAAAGGGAGTGAGGCATGAGCTCGGTAAGCCTAACTGGGGTTTCTAAATAGTACCATTATGAAAAAGATACAATGCACTTAATTTCTGTATGTAACTATTTAGAAGTCAAAATGCTCCATACACTACCAATATCCCTTCTCCTGAAATCCCCTAAAAACTGACTAAGAAATGTCCAGTACTGGATTGCTCTAGTTGATATTTAGAACAAAGCTGACAACTTAAAGCTTTATAATAGTCTGTTTTAATATAAACAATTGTTGGAATCAATCAATGTCCATTTCAGGAAGCTTCTTGTCTGAATCCGAAGGCACAGCTGTGTCTGTGCCCTGCTCAGCAGCCTGAGGGCCTGGGCTGTCTCCTTGTCCCTCTACTGGTCCGTTCTGCTCTGCATTTTTTTGCTCCTCTTTTGGAGGTTCCACTTTGGGTTTGGGCTTTGAAATTATAGGGCTACAGATACTCATCAGCTCCTAGAATGACAGAAAATTGTGGTTCCTTGTAACAAATTTTACATGCACACGAAATTCAAGTCCACCCTCCCCCACTCAATCCCCAAATCAGAAGCTAAGATGCAATAATGAAGTTTTTTCCTAAATGTCCCTCTCTAAGGACTATCAATAAATAGCAAGGCCCTGGCTGGAGTGGCTCAATGGTTAGCCTAAATCTGAGTGTCAGCCCATGTACCAAAAGGTCTCAGGTTCCATTCCCAGTCAAGGGGATGGCCGTGGTGCAGGAGGCAACCAATGGATGTGTCTCTCTCACATCAATGTTTCTCTCGCTCCTCTGTCTCTCTCGCCCTCCCTCCCTCCTTTTCATTCTTCCTGAAAAAGCAATGGAAAAAAATATCCTCGGGTGAGGATTAACCAAAAATAAAAATAACGAGGCTGACAAGAAAAGACTATTTAAAATGTAAAGCCATAAAATACCTTAATTTTAGCTTCAATGTCTTTTGCCTTGACAATTGGATCCACAGTCAGACTCTGCTTGTTCTGCAGATTCAGTTTCTTATTCATCCACTCCATGGCTTCATTTGTGCTTTTTTCCACCTTCATCATATCGGCAGCATCCAAATGGTCATACTGGTCCTCCTGCACCAGCAGTCAACCAGACTGTGTCAAAGGATGACACTCCCCACCCAAGTACCGACTAGTACCTCAGTCTTTCAAGAAGTTGTGATCTTCCCCAAAATACAGCACATTAACACTCACAATCTAATAGATATTCAATTCCTTAAAAATTCAAAAAGGAAGCCCTAGCCAGTTTGGCTCAGTAGTTGGGAGTGGCGGCCCCGGACTGAAGGGTCGCAGGTTTGATTATTCCAGTCAAGCGCATGTACCTCAGTTGCAGGCTCGATTCCAGCCCCAGTCAGGGTGGGTGCAGCAGACAACCAACCAATTGTGTCTCTCTTACATCGATATTTCTCTCTCCCCATCCCTCCCAGTCTCTCTAAAAATCAATAGAAAAGAAGTATCCTTGGGTGAGGATTAACAAAAAAATTTCCAAGTAAGGAAAAGTAAACCCAATTTTTAAAACATTCAAGAAATAGATTTGAAGGTCAAAAACATACATAAGGTTGCAATTAAAAGGTTTCAACAATAAAAATAGCACATGCTTTACACAAAATCTTAAGATAATTTTACAATGCAAAAAAAACTACATGTCATTAGATAAGACAGCAAAGACTTATGAATGCTTGTTAGGAACCAAAATAATAATACAATATTTTAAAGGAGTCTTTTCAGAAGAAAAATTTTTAAAGAGAACAAGAAGCTCAATTTATCTTTCTTAAAACTTCTTACATGAACAATACATTGAAAATCTGGAGTACAGTGCAGTGGTTAAGAACCCAACTCTGGAGCCAGACGTCAGGCCAGGTCCCAGCTCCCCAATAACCTTGAGTGTTGCTTAAGGACAGTGAGGCTTAAAGAAGTTAGAAATTGCCCTAGCTGGTTTTGCTCAGTGGATAGAGCATCAGCCTGCAGAATGAAAGGTCCCGGGTTTGATTCCAGTCAATGGCACGTACCCGGGTTTCAGGCTTGATCCCCAGTAAAGGGCATGCAGGAGGCAGCCAATCAATGATTCTCTCTCATCACTGATGTTTCTATCTCTCCCCCTCTCCCTTCCTCTCTTAAATCAATAAAAATAATGACTTCAAAAAAAAGTTAGAAATTAATTATAATTGACACTACCACATACTTCATAAGAGTACTAGTGTGGGAAGTATACATCCTATAGTGCTAAAAAAACTTATAAGTAGCAGTTTACTACTGAGATAGTCCTACATCTGTATACCAAGCCAAATTATATGCCTAATGTGTTCTCAGAAAGACCAGGATAGAACAGGTTAAGTCACTTATGAAGCATTTCACAGCAAGAAAAGGAAATTAAAACAATATTGTTCGAGTCCAGATTCCACTTATTAAAGTGGCAAATCCCAGGGTTCTTAATAATATTCAATAAAATATTATACATTAACAACTAAAAAGAAAACATTACCATTAAATAACAGTTAAAGACAACAAGAGGAAAACTATGTAAATGCCTCAATGCTTAACTCTACCAAAACAACAGTAGGGAAGAGGAAAAAAGAAGATACCTTGTTTTTGAAAGAGCTGATTACTTTCATATACTGCTGGATTTGTTTCCCTAGTTCTTCAAACACTTTTGGTCTTTCTTCAGATTCCTGGAATCTTGTCTTAATAGGCTGACCTAGATTCTTAACAAAAGAGAGAACATACAAATTCTTCATAGAGCAGTTTAAACTACCAGAGTAGCATTGTTTCTACAACTAATAAAATTTATTATGGATTAAAGTACATTTAATCTCCATGTGCCATATATAAATTAAATATTTTCCCCCAGCCCATTGATACAGACAGGGTTGGGGGAAAGTAGGTTTATAGTTTATTCTTGTATTATTTTTTATTAATACACTAGAGGCCCAGTGCACAAATTCGTGCACTGGTGGGGTCCAACCGGCCCTCCCTGATGGGGGCCAATCAGGGGTGGGGCTGGTCTGGCTGGGGCAAGGGGCTGCGCGCGGTTTGCTAACCGGCACCACCCCGATCCACTGGGAGGGGGGGGGGGGGCCGACCAAGGGCGAGGGGCCGTGGTCGTTCTGGTCGTTCTGCCTTTGGGTCACTGGGCTTTTATTATATAGGATGAACTGTAAACCTACTTTTTGCCCCACCCTGTCTACTCAGGTTTGATATGAGAATATACCTCAACACTGTTTCATGTGGAGCCACTATCACCTGAGCCCTAATTCTCAAAATACAGTGTGGAGATAACCAAATACTAGGTGCCTGCTGATAGTGACACACAACAGTAAATATGAAGTACCGAAACTAAAAAGAAAAAAAATTTTTTAGCCTAAATCTGAAGAAGCCTCGTCTATCCATCAATTTACCAGATATTAAACACCACAGAGATGAAAATCAGCAAAACCGAGACTGGGGACAAATCCGACAGGACAAATAATGCAGGTTTCTTTGTACTTTAACCCTAAGCTTTACTGATCAGATTCTTCAAATGAAAACTGGATGTTTTGTTTTACTGAGAACCAAAGTAATATACACAGCCCTGCCCTAACTGTACTGCCTGCCTTCAGGACAGGGACACATCTTGCAAGTCTTTGTATCTCTTGACACCAAGAATACACTCAGGTTCAATTCAATTAACATTTTAAGTCTAAAAACAGTTTTCAGGAAAATTATTTTGTTACAAAAGTTCTAAAAGTGAGAAAGATAATGAACCTAGCCCTAGGAGCATTGGCTCAGTGGATAGAGCATCAGCCTATGGACTGAAGGGTCCCAGTTTCAATTCCGGTCAAGAGCACATGCCCTGGTTGGGGGTTCAATCCCCAACAGGGGTGTGCAGGAGGCAGCCGATCAATGATTCTCTCTCATCACTGATGTTTCTCTCTCTCTTTCTCCCTCCCCCTTCCACTCTGAAATCAATCTAGTAAAATAAATAAATAAATAAATAATAGAACCTAAGTGATAAAGCATATAGTTCTTCAATCACTTTCAGCCTGTCTTCATTACTTGACCTAATTCCTCCCAATTTTGATTACTCTCACTGAAAACTACAGTAGGACACTTCTACTTTCAAGAGTCACTTACTTTTAACTCAGCCAATTTATCGATGTAAACTTGCTTTGGCTGGTCTTCCCCATCCTCATACAACCAATTTTCAGTATCTTCTAGTTTCAAAGTAAAACTGTTACGATCCTAAAGATGAAGAAAATATAACTAGGTCAATTTTGATTCACCAATTTTGATTTCATCAATTTTGAAATCACTTTATTCACTAGTGTAATCACAGGCACAATCGGCAATATATCTGAATTTGCTTTAAAAAAAAAAATGAGGGGGCCCTGGCTGGTGTGGGTCAGCCCACCCATGGAAGGGTCTCGGATTCAATTCTCAGTCAAGGGCACATACCTGGGTTGCAAGCTTGATCCCCAGCCCGTCAGGGAGGCAACCAATCAGTGTGTCTCTCACACACTGATGTTTCTCTCTCTTTCTTTCTCTCTCCCTCCCCCCCCCTTCTCTCTCTCTCTCTCCCTCCCTCCCACCCTCAACTCCCTCTATACATCAATGGTAAAAATATCCTCGGATGAGGATTAAACAAGCAAAAAAATATATATAAAGGGAGATAGGACATATAGAAAACAAGACTGGCACAATGTAGTTTTCCTTGATAGATACAAAGAGATTTATTTAGGTGTGTTTAAAACTTCAGAATTAGAAACTGCATTTATAAGTAAGTTAAACACCAGGGAAAAGTTAGTTGATTTAAAGATACTGGGTAAATAAAAGCATGCAAATGTATCAAGAAGTGACAGACTAACCTTTAGGAAACACTCCACTAATAAACACAAAAAAACTCCAAAACGTACATTTTAATCATTTTACTGTATACCTACAGATGCACACTTCCCTTCTAACACATTTAAGGATGCTCCCAGGAGGCAAATAGGTAGCCACACTGTGGCACATACTTACATCTTCACTCACAAACTTCTCATATTCACCACTGAGCTTGTCTCTCATTTCATACACATATTCTTCTACTGCATTCTTAGCATCATTCCTCTCCTTCTCCAGCTTATCCTGCATGATCATCTTACCCTAAGGACAGTATAAATCAATTAAGATATCCATCTGGACAACTCAGATAATCTCCTCTTAAATATTAAGTGATAATATATTTATCAAAGAGAATCCCTTTTTCTCAAATGCTTTTAATTCTGCAAGTCATCCAAGAAAGGAGAGCTGGAAGTGTTAGTCCTCAGGAAATGAGGACAACCAAGTGAGTTTGTGGGTATGCTTAGAAAAAAGGCGCAAGAGAAATATCAACATGTAGAAACTCAAAAGCAAAACTTAGAAAAAGAACTTAAGACAAGGGAATTTTAAAAAACTTTTAGTTCAGCCCAGCAGGTATAGCTCAGTAGTTGAGCATCAACCTATGACCCAGGAGATCACAGTTCGATTCCCAGTCAGGGCACATGCCCAGGTTGCGGGCTCAATCCCCAGTGGCGGACGTGCAGGAGGCAGCCAATCGATGATTCTCTCTCATCATTGATGTTTCTATCTCTCCCTTCCTCTATGAAATCAATAAAAGAAAATTTTTTAAAGAATTTCATTTAAAAAATAATTATTATTAGCTCAATGTCAAAAGTCGTATCTCCACTGTATTATTGCTCCTATGGAAAACCAAGAAAATTTATTCATACAGTATAAATGTTAAAGGTCTGTAAAAGAAAACTACTGTAAGATCCAATAAATACGTAAGAAAACTCACTGGCAATAATTAATTCAATAAATATCCAAGATCCCAAACCTTGTATCACTCACCATAACAAGAGTTACCTATTAACTGGCAACAGGGGAAGATACTAGTAAACAAAACAGTACTACCATTAATGCTATGTGATTTCTCCTACCGTCAACTTCCAAGACCCACCACCTCAAAATCCCAATCCCTAGTGAACATATTCACATGCCCTAACGTGAACAATACCTGCCTTAAACCAAAGCCATAATGTCAAAGATCTCATAATAGAGCTTCTAGCAATACAGATGTAATTTCACCATAAAAGAATTTGGGGTTGCATGGGCTCTATTAAACTTGCTCTTACACAACCCAAAAATCTAAAAGAATTTTTCTCCAAACAACCAAAAATGCCCAATAGTCACTAGACACAGAGCTTGAACGCTATGTCACATTAATTTGTTAGTTTATTATTCTAAGATGTGAAATAACCACCTCATTTTCAATGTACAAGTTGAGCATCTCTCTGTCTATCTGCCATAACAGCTGATTCTCAATTGGCAGATCCACTGTACTGGTCTTCACTTTTGCCTTCTTAGCTTGAGGTGGTTGATCCATCTTTTTGTCTTTTGATCCAGCTTGGGAGGTCTAAGAACAAGCACATAGACAGACTAACTTAAAATTCTGAATGGGTCACATTTCAAAAGCTGTTTTTGCTGTTTATTAACTTGGTTTTCTGATGATCTAAATAACCTAGGACAATTTCTTAAAATATCTGAAAAGTTAAAATTATAAATACTATAAAAGTAGTCAAATCCATAGAGACAGAAAGTAATGGTGCTGTCAGGGGCTAGGAGGAGGAGGGATAGGGAAATAGAAAGTTGTTGTTAAGTGGGTATACAGTTTCAGTTGGCAAGATGAAAAACTTCTGGAGATTGGTTGCACCATAATGTGAATATATTTAACACTGCTGAACTGCACACACACACATATATATTAAACAACCTCCCATAATCCCACAGTCAACATAAAATCACTATTAAATCTTCTCTAATTTTCTTCCACTCTTACCTAAATATATAGACATGCATATGAAATTAGTGGGGAGAGGATATAAAATGTTTATGGACCAGAAACATTATCAATATGATTTCCAAATGTCTGTACCTATCTACATTCTCACAAGGAATAGGAGAACCTATTCTACTGTACCCTGGCCACAAACAGGAATTCATTTACCATCATATAACTATTATTTTCTTTGGGTAAATAACCTTTGCTTCAAATTGCGTAGCAATATTTCATCCACCATTCTTTTAGGATTTTAGTGATTTTTTCCCCTCAAGTGATCGACTCTTCTGCATTTTTTCTAATGTATATTATTTACCTATACAAATTTTTTATTCTTAAATCTTGAATTTAACTGTGATTACTTTTCCTGTGATTACTTTCATTGCTTTGAAAGCCCTTCCTGACCAACAGATTAGAAAAATATTAAGTTGTTTTGTTTTACTTTTAACATTCAAAATCATCAACAACTGAGTAATTTCCATATCACCTATCCAAAAAACTTAAGTCAGGTGCTGAAATTTATGTATCATTTGTATTTCGTTTCCCTTTTAATCAGTTCCCAAGCCAGCTCATGAAAGAAGCCTCAATAACAACCTCCCTAAAACTTCCCACAGCTCTTTGGCATTTGGGGGTGGGGACGGTGGTGGTGACTGGTGGCACTCCCTCCCCTGCCTTCCACAAGAACATAGGAGAATGAGTACTTCTCTCTCCCACTGCCTGTAACCCAGCCAACAACATGAAGATTTTCCACCTTGGAAAATGCCTGTACTAGACTAAAGCATCTGTGAGCATAATTTCCTCTGTACATTATTTTCTTTTTTATAAGTATTTACACAACTAAAACAAAGTAATTGTAATTTGTTAACTGATAGGAACATGGATAATAGACTTAAGCTACCTTAAAGCTCTGCCAAACGTTTTAAAATGCCATAATCAGAAATACTTAGGGTGAGATCATACATTGCAATGTTGCAAATAGCTGGGGGAAAAAGGTGTTTTCAATGCTGATAACAAATTTAACATGAAAACTCGAAAGTTAGAATTAAAGAACAGGCATGTTACATATTCATTTAAATAACTGCTTGGGTAAATACTATATTATTTATATTCTTTACAAAATATATTTAAGTACATTATTTAAAACAATAATTTTTTACAAAAAAAAGGCAAGGTTCTGAGAGGTGACAAAATATCAAACAATTACCTCACTTATCAGTAAGGAATGGGTAGGATGACTGTTTAGTAACGGACATTCAGAAACTAGCATTAAACAATCACTAGTATAATAAAACTATGGCTTCTGAGAGCTTTCTTCTCATACATCAGCCAGAATAGAGTTCAAAGACCATCTTGCCAAACGTACTTTCCAAACATACTACAAAATTCTGCTTAAAAACTATTCAAAAATACACTAAGAATTCTTAATATAACTACCTTCCAAACCATAGTGAAAACACAGCCAAAACCATCTACCTATGTGAAGAGACTGTAATATTCCCTCTAAAATACAATGTATACCTCCATTTCTTCAGACTCAGCCTTATTTTCTGCTGGCATCTGCTGCTGTTGCTCTTCAACATGTGGTTCCTCTTGGTCCACTTGCATCTTCTGAAAAACAGGTCACACCAAATCCTAAAACTAGTTCATACTAGTGAGAGGACTAAGCAACCTTCATGACACACTGGCAAAATCACATGGCATCAAATTCCTGCTGAAATACCAGCTATCAGAGGACCTACATTCAAATTTCAGCTATGGTGCGCCTATGTTACCTATAACACAGAAGTTTTCCTCTCTAGACCTCAGTAACTACATCTGTATTCTGGAGGTAACAATTGCCCTGCCCTACCCTTATATAAGCAAGAATAGTTGTGGAATTGCTCTATAAACCATAATTTACTCATAGTGCACAGTGTGGCAATATTTAACATAATATAATCTGAAGAGAGCATGAGTTTCTCCAAGATTCCTCATGAGTAAACTTATCTGAAAAATCTTCACAAAATTTTCAAGCAGTTTTTAAATCAACCTTTTCACCCTCAAAAATACAACTATTGCATGCATTTGGGGAGTTGAACTTCTTGAGAATTCTGTTAAAAGACCAAAGCCTGACAATAATAAAAGAGAAGGGAGACGTTTGTAGAGACCCTAAGTCAGTGGCTTTCAATGCTTACAGCACCCCAGAATGACCTCAGAGGCTTTTAAAACTACTGATAACTGCGCCCTGGTAAGCCCAGATCAACTCAAACAAATCTCAGAGGGTGAGACCCAAACACCTGTAGTTTCATAAAGCCTTGAGGTTTTGATGCACAATAAGGACAAGACAATGCATGATTCCAACAAATGAATGTCAAATCTATTCTACTTGTGAAAATAATCAACTAAGGACTCAGAGCATTCTTCAATAATTAAAAAGAATCAAGAGGGCGGGGAAAAAAGGAGACATATGTAATACTCTTTGTAATACTTTAAGCAATAAAACAATTAAAAAAAAAAAAGAATCAAGAACTCTAACAAGTGCACGTATGGCCTGAAGGAGGGAGCTGGTTATGTTACATTTCCATATAAATTTCTGCCAGTTCACCGATGCTGGGAAAGGGGATGCATGCAAACCCACACTCAGCTGCTCTGTCACAATGTTTCTCCCTTGCCACCCAGTCTATTTGCTATAATTTCTAGACAAGTCACCTCTGGGCCCCATAAATGGTATAAAATGTCCAAATTACCTCTTCCTCCTTTGCATTCTGATCTGTTTCCATCGGTTCCTCATTTTCCTCAAACTTGTGCACTTCCACTAAAGATGCACTGGACACACTAAAAATGCCATGGACATTTACTCGAACCTTGACTTTGACTTTTGAACTTGAGCCATCAGACTGAGGAGTGACTTTCTGAACAGAAAACTGAGCTAGGGACATATGAGAGACAAGAGAGAACAAATAATCTGAGAGGAGGAATTCAAAGATGAATATATAGCCACATAGCCAGGTTATGTGCATTTCTCAGTAACAGGTCAGTAACATGATACCTCAAAGAAGCAATGTGGGTACTCAGAGAATTTTACCAAATCATATTTCTCCTTTCTTTTTCACACATAGTCAAACTCTTAACTTGCCCCAATTAAGGACTCAAACATCTCTTAACCCTCCAAACATTTCTTTCCCTCCAGTCTCTGATTCCAACCTCCCTTTTTAGGCTACTGCCAGATAAATTCCTAAAATAATTCTGTCACATTCTCCTCTATTAACAAAACCCCAATGATTCCATAGTGATTCTGTGATTTATCAAGAACTTGCTCCTTCCAAATTCAGTTACTAAACTAACATCTTATTTGTTTTTTAATTCACAAAACTCTGCAAAGCATGAATTATCATCTTAATTCGGTTAAAACTGAATTTAACTCTTTTCAGTATCTAGCACCATATTATGCACAAAATATACCCAGAATGTGCATTAACCAAGATATATGCTCCCGCCCTAGCTGCTTTGGCTCAGTGGATAGAGCTTTGGCACATGGATTGAAAGGTTCCACATTCGATTCTGGTCAAAGGGCATGTACCTCAGTTGCAGGCTCGAGCCCTGGCCCTGGTCGGGGTTCGTGTGAGAGGCAACCAATTGATGTGTCTCTCTCACATCAATGTTTTTCTCTCTCTCTCTGTTTCTCCCCTGCCTTTCACTCTCACATATGTTTTTTGTTTTTTGCTTTTTAATTCCCAACTCTTTACTTACCTATAGCAGGGTCTGGATAGGGCAACTCCTGAGGAGAGCTATAACAGGCCTCAAGAGTGAAAGGTTCCTTTCTATAAAATGTGAGTACTTTAGAGAAAGGAGCAGCATGATTTTTTGGAAAGACTTCACAGTCACTGAATGAAGAAAAAAGACAAGAACACAAATTTAGGAAATCCTTAACACTTTTGCCCATGAACTCTAGTTTTATAATTACTGTATAGTTTTGGCTACTCTTTAGCTTCATTTCCAGATTATAAATTTCCAAGAACAAAATACACACACACACACACACACACACACACACACGTAATGTGTCCATTTTTTTAAAAAGGAATATATTTCATTCAGTACAAAAAGGCACCATTTCAGCATGATCAAGTATAAGAAACTACATAAGGATACAAATTTAGCCCTGGCTGGTTGGCTCATTGGATAGAGCATTGGCCTGTGGACTAAAGGGTCCCAGGTTAGATTCCGGTCAAGGGCACACCCCAGGTTGCACACGCGATACCCAGTAGGGGGCATGCAGGAGGAAGCTGATCAATGATTCTCTTCCATTATTGATATTTCTCTCTCTCCCTCCCTTTCTTCGCTCTAAAATCAATAAAAACGTATTTAAAAATCCAACAAAAAATGTTACAGATTTAGAGAAGTTGAAAAGGAGCTCAATATTCACTCAGACTGTTTAACATTGAGCTAACTTTAAATACAAAAGTAATTTGGTAAATGCTCTTACGTGGACCCTTCTTCAGCAGGCGAGTTCCACCTCAGGGATATGGGATACGGCACCACATCAGTGATGGAAAACTCTCTCACTTTGAAAGCAGGCGATAAGATTGCACACTAAAATAATAATTTTATAAAATTCCATTTTAACAAACATTGTAAACTGACAGTACAAGGTCTATTTAAAAAGACTTCAGAAAACCATCACCAATAATTTTAAAATATTTACATTAATAATTTAATTGTATCCAAATAAGCAGTTTTATAAACTTCTATTATTTGTCAAATTATCTATAATCTAGCTGTTCCTTGACATTTTTTCATTAACCCCAATCTTTAATTAATATGCATTGCTACTTCATACATAGACAACAGATAAAATGCCAAATCCAACAGTATTTCAGGTTTACCTATGTTTCCAGTATTCATCTACTTATGAACAACACCTCTGATATCCATTTTAAAACAAATATTTCAGAATCTTACCAACTTGAGATCACTCCAAGCCAGGGGTCCTCAAACTACGGCCCGCGGGCCACATGCAAATACAAATATTGTATTTGTTCCCGTTTTGTTTTTTTACTTCAAAATAAGATATGTGCCGTGTGCATAGGAATTTGTTCATGGTTTTTTTTTAAACTATAGTCCGGCCCTCCAACGGTCTGAGGGACAGTGAACTGGCCCCTGTTTAAAAAGTTTGAGGACCCCTGCTCCAAGCTAACCTCAGGTTATTAATTGGATACATAAAATCACCACCGTCTTATTACAATGATTTGTAAGTGGCTAAGAAAAAATACTCACCTGCAGTGCACAACCTCGAGTGACAGCTTCATCAGCATTTAGTGTTGTACTGAGCTCTTTACCAAAAAATTTGCTAATCTTCTCTTTTACTGCAGGGATTCGTGTCGCACCACCAACTATCTCCACTGCATAAATATCTTCTTTCCTTAACTCTATTTTAAAGTGATTAAACATTTAGATTTTAAAAATCTTTAAATTAGTATTTTATAATGAAATGAAAGAGCAATACAGCACCTTATCACAACAAAGTAACTTGCAGATGTGTAACAAAACCTGTCACTCATTCCTTACACTCCGTCCACAACAGCATGCACATCAACATGCGCTCACACACACAGGTGCATAGAATCTGGCAACAAATAGGTATGTTTTGATTCTCAAAATAATAGGGGCAGGGTGGCACAATAATATTGGGATTTAGGAGGTGAGAGTCAGGAATACTCAATGTCCTACAATCTCCAAAAGAGCCTCACACAAAAAATGGTAACAGTTAAGCTAGCCAAAAGGAAGATATGAGGGCCTTGAACTATTGGTCAGCCCTGACACAACATGAAAGAAAAAGAGGTGTTCAGATACACATCTAGCCACTGTAGCACTCCATCCCAAATATAAACATAATCCACATTACAGCACATGTATAATATCCTCATGTCAGAAGGAAAGAAGGTACACACCAAGGTTCTGCTGTCACTCATAAAATAACTCTTAATACCACCCTGGTTTCCTGGTCACATTTTACGTAACACTAAGAATTTGTTGAGAAGGACTATTTAAAGAAACAGGATGTCCCAGTGTGGAAAGAATGTGCCCGTTTGCCATAATCACTGTGATTTAAGAGCTGAACCTTTGTCAAGCTGACAGTACTTTTCAACACTCTGAACTAGCTAGCAACCAACACAACAGTGGATTCTAGATAAACATTTGTCAAACATTTTGGAAAAATTAGTAATATATTCCTAATCAAACTTCTATGTTTTAACCCAAGATAAAAAAGCACCCCATTAAAATCAATATATGGCTATCATATCCTCCCTTTGCTCTAATTGTCATTCAGCAAACAAAAGATTCACTGACAGAAAAGCCTACAAGACTACTATAGCAGCATTGCTAAAGACAATTTTTACCACTATAAAATAACTGAAAAGTTTATACCCATCTTTGAGTCTGAATTAGGTTTCCTGGGAAAACTTTTAGATTTCCCTCGACATGTAACAGTGCGCCCATAAATTACTTGGGGGAAGTGTGAGTTCCAGAGGGAAAATATAAAAAAGCTTAATATAGCATTGATGTTGTTTGTCCAATGAAAATTTGTATAACTAAAAAATAATGAACAATATTTCCAAAGAGTGTGAGGTACACAAACAATTCAACCACAAAAATACTTACTGGATTGTTCCAAAACACTACGAAGTGGTGGCTCCACTCTAGCTAAGAGATCATCACACATCTCCAAAAATTTGCCTCTATAAAAAAAAAAAATTTAAAAAAAGTTTAAATCACATTCTACTTTTATGTGGAATGGATGGCTATAAACAAAAAGACAGATAATAACAAGCACTGGCAAGGATATAAATTGGCTTCCTCACACATTCCCGGTGAAAATATAAAATGGTGCAGCCACTATGGAAAATAGTTTGACAGTTCTTCAAAATGTTAAACAGAGTTACCATATGTGCCAGTAATTCTACTCAATATACAATAAAGAGAAATAAAGCATACAACCATACAAAACCATGAATGTCCACAATAACATCATTCATAAACAGCCAAAAAAGTAGAAAAATCCCTGAAGTCCACCAAATGTACTCAGCAATAGAAATGAATGAATACAAGACTTCAGTTAAGATGACAGCGTCCGTGGTCGGCAAATTGTGGCTCACAAGCCACATGCGGCTCTTTGGCCCCTTGAGTGTGGCTCTTCCTAAACCTTAGGAGTACCCTAATTAAGTTAATAACAATGTACCTACCTATATAGTTTAAGTTTAAAAAATTTGGCTCTCAAAAGAAATTTCAATCGTTGTACTGTTGATATTTGGCTCTGTTGACTAATGAGTTTGCCGACCACTGGGGTAGGTAAATGTGGTACTTGAATCATCCCACAAGCACATCAAAATTACAACTAAACTGCAAACAACCATCATTCAGAACCACCTGAAATCTATCTGAATGGAAGTCCTACAACTAGGGAATTAAAGAAGATGCCCACAGAGACTGATAGAAGGGGCAAAGACAAGGAAAGGCTGATCCTACACCCATGTGTGGCTGCAAAGGTACCCCCAGAGGAGCAGGGGGACCCAGCCCCACTCCAGGCCTCCCTGCCCAGAGTTCCAGTGCCAGAAAGAGGTATCCCCATAACTTTTGGCTATAAAAACAAACAGAGCCAGGCCAGTGTGTCTCAGTGGTTGAGCATCGACCTCTGAACCAGTTAGATACCAACCAGGTCAGGGCACATGCCTCGGTTGCGGGCTTGATCCCCAGTAGGGGCATGCAGGAGGCAGCCGATCAATGATTTTCTCTCATCATTGATCTTTCTATCTATCCCTCTCCCTTCCTCTCTAAAATTACTAAAAATGTATTTTAAAATAAAAAATAGGCCTAGCCAGTTAGAACGTCAGCCCATGGAATTCAGGTCACAGGTTCGATTCCGGTCACTTACCTCAGTTACAGGTTCAATCCCCAGCCCTGGTCAAGGTGCATGTGGGAGGCAACCAATTGATGTGTCTCCCTCACACTGATGTTTCTCTTTCTCTCCCCTCCCTTCACTCTCTCTAAAAACCAATGGAAAAAAATATCCTTGTGAGAGGATTAACAAAAATAATAAAAAATTTAAAAAGGAATGAATACAATAACATGTTAGGATGCAGATGAACTTTGGAAACATTAGGCTAGGTTAAAAAAAAAAAAGCCAATAAAAAACACACACACACATTATGTAACTCAACTTATACAAAAAGTTCAGGATAGGTAAATTCAGAGAGACAGTAGATTTTTAGCTGCCTACCGCTAGAGGAAAAGAAGAGATGAGGAAAGACAGCCACTGAGTGGTTTCTTTTTTTCTTTGTTTTAACACAGTTAATACTTTATCTTTTCGATCCGCTTTAGATTTCCAGAGAAATAAGCAGAAAGTAAAAGAATTCCCATATATCCCGCAACACCCCTCCCCCAGTTCCTCTATTGATACCCTGTAGTGTGATACATTTCTAACAACTGGTAAGCAATACTGATACATGATGGTACATATTAGAATTCTACACGTTTTGACAAATTGTATAATGTTAAGTATCCACCATACAGAGTAGCTTTACTGCCCTAAAAATTCTCCCTATTCCACCCATTCAATTCATCCCTCCCTCCCCAGAACCAACCACTGACTTCACCTTTTTACTGTCTCCAATTTTGCCTTTCCCAGTAAGTCATATAGTTGGAATCACACTGGATTGAGCCTTTTTAAATTGGCTTCTTTTACTTAGAAATGTGTGTTTAAGGGTCCTCTCTGTCTTTTCACAGCTTGACAGCTTATTTAGGGAGGACATTCTCAAACTGGGTTGTGGTGATGGCTGCACAATTCTGTGATTATACTAAAAACCACTGAAATATATACTTTAAAAGAGTCACTTTTATGAATTACGTCACAATAAAAAGAAAAATTGTAGAGATATACAAAATAACCCATCAGAATGGCAAAAATTCAAGACCACTAATACCAATATTGGTGAGGATATATAGCAACACAAAGTCCTACATGTTGTCAAGAACTTAAAAAAACGACAGTTGTATTCCTAATAGCAAGCGATTCCTCAAAAAGCTAAACCCAGAATTACCAAAGGACCCAACAATTCCACTCCTAGGTATATACCCTAAAGAACTGAAAACAAAATACTCAAATACTTGTTCATGAATGTTCACAGCAGCATTATTAACAATAGCTACAAGGTAAAAACAACAATGTCCATCAACTGATCACTGGATAAATGGAATATTATTTGCCATGAAAAGCAGTGAAGTACTAATACATACTACAGTGTGGATGAACCTAGAAAATATTATGTGAAAGAAACTAGAAACCAAGACCAAAAAAAAAGTTTACACATACAGGGGTGGGCAAAAGTAGGTTTACAGTTATAAGTATAAGAAAGCTTGTTCCTATATTATTTATTAAATAATTTTCCCATTTGTGGAATATAGAGAACAACACAGACTGATGAACAGGGACAGATCCAAAGACAGAGAAACAACGATCAGACTATCAATCCCCAGAGGGAAAGTAGGGGAGGGTGGGAGTAAGGGGAAGAGATCAACCAAAGGACTTGTATGCATGCATATAAGCCAAACCAATGGGCACAGACAACAGGGGGATGAGAGCATTAGGGGGCAGGGAGGCTGGAGGTTAATGGGGGGGATGAGGACACATTTGTAATACCTTAACCAATAAAGAAATTTTAAAAATAATAATAATAATTTTCCATTTGAACAACTATAAACCTACTTTTGCCCACCCTTGTATTATATGATTCCATTTATATGAAATATCTAGAATAGGTAAATCCAGAGATAAAAGTAAATTGGTGGTTGCCATGACCCAGATGTAAGAAAAAAGGGAAGTAACTACAATAGGTATGAGTTTTCTTTTGGGGAGATGAAAATGTTTTTTCAGTAGGTAGAGGTAGTCATGGCATGACATTGTGTATGTACTAAATGGCACTGAGTTGTTCACATTAAAATTGTGTAAGAGCACAGCCAGTGTTGCCCAGTGGCTGAGCTTCATCCTATGAACCAGGAGGATTACCGGTCAGGGCTCAATCCCCAGTGGGGGTTGTGCAGGAGGCAGCCAATCAATGATTCTCTCTCATTATTGATGTTTCTATCTCTTTCTCCCTCTCCCTTCCTCTCTGAAATCAATAAATAACATTTTAAAAAATGAAGTGATACAAGAATTTTACCTCAAATTTTTAAAAAAGTAATTAGAAGAAATGCTATAATGTCAGAAATAAATGATCTGGTTTCATTAGTTTGAAAAAAGACTGCTAGTGAGTATTAAAACTAAATGAAGGCTACAAAATAGAACAGAGAATATAACAGCTATGTGCCCTGACATTGCAGATACAGTAAATTGTGTTTTTTCAAAGCAGCACACAAGCTAATCAACTGTTTTCAGCTTTTAAAAGTATAATAAATATCTATTTGGCTCTCAAAATCACCTAACACTCCACTAACAATTTCTGAAACATAAACAGGCACACCCCTACATCCTAGCCCCCACCACCATGTAACACATACAAAACTGATACTTAATAAAAATGAAAACCATCACTTTCAAGCAGGGTGGAAAAGGTGACTGCAAATTTGGTTACTAGGCACAATAATCTAACTCTAGCAGAAAAGGAGCAATTTAAATTCCACCTCAATTTTTTTAAGGCGACACTTCCCTAAATAAGCCATCAGTCTTGCCTGAACTCTACCAATATAGTCCACATCATAAAGAACATCTCATTCTGCCCTAGCCAGTTTGGTTCAATAGATGGAGCATTGGCCAGAGGACTGCAGGGTCTCGGGTTCAAATTCCAGTCAAGGGCACACACCCCGGTTGCAGGCTGGATTCCAGCCCTGGTCAGGGCTCACGTGGGGTGCAACCGATCAATGTTTCTCTGTCTCTCTCTGTCTCTCCCCCTCCCTTCCACTCTCTCTAAAAAATCAATTGGAAAAATATCCTCCGGTGAGGATTAACCAAAAAAAAAAAAAGAACATCTCATTCTCACTACCCAAGCAACCCAACCAGACAACAGGAACATTCAGACAACAGTAACAGTAACATTTCTGAGGAAAGCCCTGAAATATCAAGTACCCAGAATTCTTATGGCACTGTACAGAAAGAGCTGTTGTCCTCAAGAGATCCTGAACTACCCCAAAACACCAATTTCTGAATCAATGACTAAATCAAATTCAACATAATTCTACATTAAAGCATTTTGCCCTGATTTTTATGAAAACTGATAATCATGTATAATTCATGTACATGTTATAACTACCAACTTCCTGCAATATTCAATTAATCAGAAAAACATCAGTTTACATTATTAGAATAATCAAACCCACCTTCACATAAAAAGCAGAATTCTGAATGGCCTCTAATTTTTACCTACTGAACTGAAGTTATCATATAACAACCATGATGATTTCAACAATTAGCTAATTAAGGCTAATAAAAGTGAAGAAAAACCACAATTCAATTTAAGGTCAGAATAGTCAAATGATTACCTATTCATAGTCCCAGACACATCAACGTCGTTCATGAAACACTCAATGCTCAAAGGGAGGTCAGAGGCATTGGCACTCATCAGCTTCTTGAGTTTCTCGCACTCTTGAGACAGGCGTAGTAACGCGCGGATTTTGGACTTTATGTCTAGCTTGTATTTCTTTCCAAATTCTTCACAGAAGTGATTTACTAACACCTCATCAAATTTTCTGCCTCCCAGTGTTGTGTCAAATGCAGTGGCCAGAACCTTAGAAAAAAGATAATTAATTCAAAAATAAAGCAATTTAAAATTTTTTCATGATATATATTTAATGGGTAAATTGTATTTAGGGATGGGGAGACATTAAGATTGAAACAAGGCAATGTGCATGTGTCACTTAATCACTGTTACAACCATTGTGAAAAGAGACACTGTAATCCCCAATTTACAGATGATGTCACAAACCTAGTCAGATCAGATAATCTGCAGGTCATAAAGCTAAAAGTGGTAGAAGTGGAATTCAAAACCCAATCTCATCAATTTCAAAACCCATGCCCTCTCCCACACTAGTCTGCTTCCAAACAGCAATTATATATCCGCCAAATATACTAACATGTCATGTACACAGTTCTGGTCTTATTGTTATCACAAAACTATGAATAACCCCAAAGGCCTTGCTCTATACATCTTACTACCAGGAAAGATGCTAAAGCAGCTGTGGGCAAACTACGGCCCGCCGGATCCAGCCCATTTGAAATGAATAAAACTAAAAAAAAAAAAAAGACCGTACCCTTTTATGTAATGATGTTTACTTTGAATTTATATTAGTTCACACAAACACTCCATCCATGCTTTTGTTCCGGCCCTCCGGTCCAGTTTAAGAACCCATTGTGGTCCTCGAGTCAAAAAGTTTGCCCACCCCTGCCTAAAGCCTTAACTTGCAGCAATTTATTTCTCCAGAGGTCTAAGCTTCCCAGAAATCTAGAATACCAGTCCTAGCCTAGTTTCTTTGAGCCATCAAGTTCTAGTCTTCTACCCTTTTACCCGAAGGCTCAAAACCTTAACAATACCAGCCGGCGTGGCTCAATGGTTGAGCATCGACCTATGAACCAGGAGGTCATGATATAGTTCCCGGTCAGGGCACATGCCCAGGTTTCGGACTTGATCCCCAGTAGGGGGTGTGCAGAAGGCAGCTCATCAATGATTCTCTCTCATTGATGTTTCTATCTTTCTCTCCCACTCCTTTCCTCTCTGAAATCAGTAAAAACATACATTAAAAAAAAACCTTAAGAACAAGAGAATACCTTTATTATAATCTCCTCAATCCTGTGTAAAACCATCAAGAGACTATACGTTAAAGAATCCTCCTAACAAGCCTGTAGATAAGCATTATTTCCCCACATTAAAGTATGGCTCAGAAATCTTAAGAGCTTTTTCCTCATACCTGTCAACTCTTTTTTTAGTATTTATTTGGGGGGAGGACATCAATTTGTTGTTCCAATTATTCACGCATTCATTTGTTGATTTTTGTATGTGCCCTGAGAGGTTGAACCTGCAACCTGGGCGTATTGGGATGATACTCTATAAACAACTGAGCTCGCAGGCCAGGACCCATGCCAACTCTTAATAAATTATTTTAAGCTGACAACTTCCACCCACCCCTATATACTTAGTTTCTAGTTCAGATGATTCATAGCAAGTTTCCATTAGTGAAACAAAATCCTCTGAACATTTACACTGTCTCACAAGTCCCTAATTACCATACATTTGTAATACAGTCTTCCAGAAAAAAATATACTTACTTTAAGTTTTCCTCTATTAAATGCACATACAGAAACTTGATAAGAAGAATGCCCCATGTCTATGAAAACTACATTTCTTGGTTTCTCCTCTAAGGCAGGAAGATCTTGCTTATAGATTCCATATGCAAGAGCAACTACATAGGGAAAAAATTAAATTTGACATATTATCATCTAAGAGTAAACTTAAAATTTAAGTAGGAAACAAAACAGACTTTGTATATAATGAATGGAGCTGCATCATATGCTCAGTTCTAGAAAGAATTAAATTCTTAAAAGCTTTGCATAATTTATTCATGAAAAATATTAACTTCAAAGAGTTATTAAATGCTGACTAAGGTTTCCTTAATGTTTCCAAATCCAGTTTCCAATTCCAATGACTTGGCAATTGCTCCCAAACCACTTCCCCCACTTTCCCAAACATATTTTCCAGGATTTCTTCTACTATTGTGCCATCTCAGCATTCCCACATATCCTGTCCCTGAGATGTTGCTTTACATCCATTCCTCTGACTCCACCAGCCCACAAGTCATAGAAAAGATAAAATCTTTAAATCAAAGCACTGCTCCAAGCACACAATAAATGTATTTCCTTACAAACAACCATGTGATTCAATATGAAGATACAGAAAAAGTACTGGTCAGATTAATTCTTCACATGTGACAGAGTAACCAAAAAAATAAAGAAGAAACCCTAGGATCTTCACAACATTCAAGATTAAGTAAAAAATTTTAGTTAATAGTCTCTCTTACCTGCAGTAGTTTCATTCATTAATCGCAGGCAATTGAGACCAGCAATCTGTGTTGCATCCATTACTGACCTTCTTTCTGCATCAGTATAGAAACAAGGAACCTACAAAAAATTTTAGAAGTTTACTGTATTATGGAGATTCATTTAAGATGCACCTGTCAAAAAAAACAGTAAAATCCAGAACCACCCTCAGTCAACTACAGGCATTTATTCTGCTTATGATCAGAGGATTTCAAACCAGTAGAGAAAATTTAGGAAATTCAACAAGTAGTAGTGAGACAATGGATAGCCAGCCATATTGACAATAATAAATTGGCATCCCTACTGTACAACTTATACCAAAATATACGTCAAATCAAAGACTTAAATGTAAAAAAAAAAATCAAGAGTACTAGAATGAAAGAAATTTTACCATCAGATTAAGTTAGGATTTTCTAAATATAACACCCAGAAGAAAAGAAAAATTTGTGACTCATAAAAAATTCTAATGACCAAATGGGGAAAATATTTGCAACTCACATCATAAAAGCGCAAAGATCTAATCTAATAATATGTAACGAACTACGGGTCAAAATGAAAAATCACAAACTCAGAATAAAATGAGCAGAGAACAGGAATATTTCAAACAACAGAAAATACAAAACGGCTCTTCAATTTTAAAATGTTCATCTTTACCTAAATAGTAAGATTACATACACTTTGATACCATTATTCTACCTATTAGAATTAGCTAAAACACCAATAAGCTGTGCTGGTGAGGCTGCAGTGAAATAAGCCCTTTCAAAGATTACAGGTGGAAGTGTGAATTACTGCAAATTCTTTGAAGGGTAACTGAACAGCTGTAAAAATTACAAATACAGCCCAGACAGTGTGTCTCAGTGGTTGAGCATCAACCTGTGAACCAAGAGGTCACTGGTTCGATTCCAGGTCAGGGCACATGCCCGGGTTTCTGGCTTGATCCCAGTAGGGGGCGTGTAGGAAGCAGCTGATCAATGATTTTCTCTCATCACTGATTTTTCTCTCTCTCTCTGAAATTAATTTTTTAAAAAATGTTTTTAATTACAAATACAGCCCAGCCAGTGTGGATCAGTGGTTGAGCATCAACCCATGAATCAGGAAGTCAAAGTTAGGCTCCTAGTAAGGGGCATGCAGGAGGCAGCCAATCAATGATTCTCTCTCATCATTGACGTTCTATCTCTCTCTCCCTCGCCCTTCCTCTCCCTAAAATTAATAAAAATAAAAAATAAGAAATTACAAATACAGTAGTCCATTTGGGGGTATGCAAGACCCCCGGTGGATGCCTGAAACTGAGGATAGTATCAAACCCTATATATGCACGATGTTTTTTTCTATATATACACACCTGTGGTAAAGTTTATAAATTAGGCATAGTAAGAGATTAACGCCACCTAATCATAAAATGTAACAATTATACAATATACTGTAATAAAAGTTAAGTGAATATGGTCTCTCCCTCAAAATACCTTGTAGTACTGTCCATACAATGTGGATACAATGAACAAAAGGATGATTCATAATGCCAGCAGGACAGAGCAGGCAAAGCAGGACCCAGAATGGCATGCAACTTTAATTTATGAATGGTTTGTTTCTGGAATTTTCCATTTAATATATTTGGACTGAGGTTCACTGCATGTAACTGAAACCACGGAAAGTGAAACCATGAATAAGGGGGAAACTATTATAAACATATCTTTTGTCCCAGCAATTGTACTTCTAAGAAGTTAGTCTATAAATTCTACAAACTTATCATATAAGAGCAAAATGACATTTAAATGTACTCATTGCAGCATTCTTTTTTTTTTTTTTTTTTTATAAATACAGCACAGGAAGGTCTGGTGGGGAGGGGGAGTCATCTGAGGACAGAAACGGGGGCAAAGACTCTTTTTCCATAAGACATTCAAACAGAGACAGCATTCTTCACAGAAAAAAAAAAACTGCCCTAGCTGGTTTGGCCCAGTGGATAGAGCTTCCACCTGCGGACTAAAGGGTCCCAGGTTCAATTCCAGTCAAGGGCATACGCCCAGGTTGCGAGCTTGATCCCCAGTAGGGGACGTGCAGGAGGCAGCTGATCAATGATTAAAAAAAAAAAAACTGGATGTGCAACAGAGACTAGCTAAATAAGTACCTCATAAACTGGAGTCTCGCAGACATTAAAAGGAATGATGCACTTCTTTACTGCTATGGAACGAATACAAGATAAATTGTCCAAAATTTGTTAAAAGAAAAAAGTTAAAAAGGATCTATCTAGATTTGCTTCAGTACATAAAAGCCTCTAGGAAGATCTGTATGTGACAAAGTGGTAAAATTGGTAACTTTGGGAAGGAAATACTACTTACTAGATAACAAGGGTGCGGAAGCTTCCATACACCCTCCTATCTACACATTTGATTTTTGAACACTGAGCTATTATTACCTTTCTAAAAAAATAAAGTTTATGTTTTAACAATAATCAATTTATATATTAAGCACAACACACCAAGGTTCTATTTACATAGCAATCAGATATAACATTAGTACAAAGAGCTAAGAGTAATGACTGTGCAGAAGAGAGTTCACATAGAGACCAGAGATAGCTATCCTTAGAAAGGTCTAATGACAAGATGGGCCCTTTCCTAGAATCCAGAAACTTGAGTGATAAACAGTTCCCTAAGTTGATACAAACACTTCCCTAAATGTTAAGAGTGAGGCACTGTGCCTAAACTGTTTCTACAACGTAATTTATGCGGAATACCTACTTTACTTCTGAAAGTCTGTATTTTGGTACATGCTAGGCATAAGGTACCTACATGACTGACTCTGCCCCTCCATAGAAACCCTCGACTCCGGGTAGGCTACGGGCAGAACTTCCCTGGTGTATGACATTTTCACATATGCTGTCACAATTTGTTGCTGGAATAATTAAGCAGTGCTTAATTAACAGGGACTCTTGGCCCTAGCTGGTTTGACTCAGTGGATAGAGCATCATCAAGCTTGTACTGAAGGGTCCCAGATTTGATTCCGATCAAGGGCACATGCCTGGGTTGTGGGCTTGATCCCCAGTGGGAGGTGTGCAGGAGGCAGTCAATCAATGATTCTCTCTCAACATTGATGTTTTTCTCTCTCTCTCTCTCCCTCTTCTTTCCTCTCTGAGATAGATAGATAAGATAAGATAAGATAAGATAAGATAAGATAAGATAAGATAAGATAAGATAAGATAGGGCTTTTGGAAGCTTGTGCCTGGTTTCCTCCAGACATTCATTGCCCATGTACCTTTTCCCTTTGTTGATGTTGCTTTCTGCGCTTTCGCTGTAATAAATCTTAGCCTTAAGAACAGCCATACTCTCTGAGTCCTGTGAATCCTCTTAGCAAATCATCAAAACTCAGTGTAGTCCTTAGGTCCCCCAGCACATGACTTAACACATCACCTCTAAACGTACTCAAAAAGTTGAAAACACCACTCAAGCATTTTACTTCAACACTGAGCATAATTCAGGATCAATGTTAAAGGCACTAACTAGATGGGGAAATGAGGACAAATCTGACAGACGAATAAAGAGCAGAAAGCATCTAAAAAAATAGTGTCTGTACTGAATCTTTAAGAGAAGCATCATTTTTATTCTTTGCATCAACCAGAATGTAGCACAACAGTCATAATCCAATTTTTCCCAACAAATGTCAGTTCTGCTTTACTAGATAGCCAAGAATTATGGAATCCACCAGACAACAGACTGTGGTGAAAAAACTACCTAACAGTCCTTGCTTTGTCAACCAATGCAACAACAAAGGAGGCCACAGAGATAACATCTATGCTATCTAATAATAGACAAACATGGTAATTGACCATACCTTCGCTATGCCTCCTATTGGCTAATCGGTGCAATATGCAAATTAACCGCCAACAAAGATGGCAGCAAATTTGCATACTGCAGGCAGGGCGGGACAGTGCAACCTGCCCGCCCCACTGCCAGCCGCCGCCCGCCAGCCCTGCAGTCCGTATGCACGGCCCAGCAGCCGGTGGGGCGGGGCGTGGTGGATCGCGTTCTGCCCGCCCCATCCCACCGCCCGCCGGGCCTGCCATGTGCGGTGGGCAGCGGGGCGGCGCAGCAGAGGGCCTGCCATCTGCCACCTGAGGAGTCAGCCTAAGCCAGCAGGTGGTTATCTCCTGAGGGGTCCCAGACTGTGAGAGGGCACAGGTCTGGCTGAGGGACATCCCCCACCCCACCCCCACCAGTGCACAAATTTTTGTGCACCGGGCCTCTAGTATATATATAAACAGGTAATATGCAAATTAGCCAGGCATCACAACCGCTGGAGGAGGCTGCACCAGGAGCGCTCAGGAAGAACTGCCCGCACAGATGGGCGGGAGAGGACTGTGTGCCGCTCCCAGCCCCAGCAGACATACACACACCAGGGGTGGGGACATGCTCCGTGCTCCAAGCCGGGCTGCACAGCACGGCTCGGAGCACGCCTCCACCCCTGCGGGGACACACACCAGTGGTGGGGACGTGCTCCATGCTCCAAGCCGGGCTGCATAGCACGGCTCAGAGCACGCCCCTGGTGGGTGGCAGCAGCGGCCAGAGGGAAGCAGCCCCTGTCCCTGATGCCTGGCGGCGGCTGGAGCAAAGCAGCCCAGGTCCCACATGCCTGTCAGCAGCCGGAGCGAAGCAGCCCAGGTCCTGGGTGCCGGAGGGAAACCGGTGCCAGCAGCCAGGGGAAGGAAGGCCTATTCTTGCACGAATCTTCGTGCATCAGGCCTCTAGTATCAGATAACAGCCACGGAAAGAGGAGATTCAGTGACAAAGCCAATGCAACTGCCAAAATTTCAATGGTTGCTAAGGACTCCATCATATTACAAGCACATTGCTACAAACAGCCAAGCTTCCATCTAGATAGGATTATGGAAAAGACAAGATAAAGTCTATTGCTGTTTGCCTTTAGAGCTAGATACAGTGACAGCAAAGATACAGAGATACAAAGGGAGAAAAATAAAGCATTTTTCATTGAGAGTATTCAACTAATTTAACAAATAAGTAGCCACTAGACCAGCCGTGGGCAAACTACGGCCTACGGGCCGGATCCGGCCCATTTGAAATGAATAAAACTAAAAAAAAAAAAAGACCGTATCCTTTTATGTAATGATGTTTACTTTGAATTTATATTAGTTCACACAAACATTCCATCCATGCTTTTGTTCCGGCCCTCCGGTCCAGTTTAAGAACCCATTGTGGTCCTCGAGTCAAAAAGTTTGCCCACCCCTGCACTAGACACTATGCTCAGTGCTACAAGAAATCCAGGATGAAGTGGGTTTAAGATAAGCCTTTAAATAGGCAGAATAACAGAGGAGGCTGGAGCAATAACTAGGGACGAGAAAAGAGAATTCAAGAAAATGAGGTCTAGTTTGATAAATTTCTTAAAATAATCAATCATACAACCTAAGGCAAAAACCAATATTATTTGCAGTTAAAATGAAAATGCTTCTTCATGCAAGTCTTAATAATGAGTAGGGCTCCAACTCACTGAAACAACACAGTCCACAACAGGCTTTTTAAGAACACTTTCTGCTGTCTCCTTCAGCTTGGACAAAAGCATGGCAGTCACTTGCTCCGTGGTAAAATTTCGTTCTTCCTCCATATATTTCACCTGCAATAAAATGACAAAAGGATCTAGACATATATTTTTCATGTCCTAAGAGCCTAAAATGAGCAATATCTCACCATCATCAATGAAACATTACCTCAAGATAGAATTGAAGAAAGCTAGTTTTAGAAGCAAAAATAATTTAAAGGTCACTTTTATCTTTATAACATGTACATGATACTTAAAGATGAGGACCACTACATAAACAATGTTGTGGCAAGTTTATCAATAAAATCTGAGACAATTACCTGTGCAGAAGCAAGTTGGTGTAGCTCACCATGAACTACATTGCCCCTCTGTAAAGGGGTTGGTGGTGAACTATTTTACCATCTGACATACTGTGTGTTATCACCTCCCCAATATTCAATCTAACCTGAGGACATGGTTTTGGTCAAATTCATTCACTGCTATAGCTCTAATACTGACAGACCTGACAAAATAAATACTTGGTGAATTAAAGAATATTAAAAAAAAGCTTCGAGATAGCCTACCCTGGATGAAGTCTGCAACTTTGACAAGAGTTGCAAACTTTGTATGTTGAAAGGCTGGGTAGAATAAGTAAGCCCCATCCCACATATACCCGTAACTCCCCCACTACAATGCAGACCAGAAATGTCACTCTCTTCTTTTAAATCTGCTGCTCTAACTCAGCTTGAAAGCTACCTACTCCTTACTCCCCAGCCCAACCATAATGTACTCTGGTTTAGAGTCTAACAGTTTCTCATTTTACTGCATGATAAAGATGGGAAAATAACCTTCGTGGTGAGCCTCTAAGTGGCCTCTCCTTCCCTGCTATTTATATAAACTTAGTCAACTCCTACCCTCGTACTTGGATCTACCTAACCTCCAGGTCTTCTCCTTAGTCTCTTTCTCCTTTGGCTCTTGCAATGCTTATGACTAAATCTGCCAGTATTCAGCCTCTTTCTTTCTTAATGTTAAGTATCCCATCCCCCATTTCTTCACCTCGCCCTTTTTCCCTCCTCTGTACTCCAGCTTTACTCCCTTACTAGGTCATCCAAACTTCTGAGATTATTGCCATAGATATCCTAAGTAAACACAGAGATCATACTTCAGTTATCAGAATTCATCACTTCTAAATTCAACTGAATTCTCAGCTACAATGGCACCAACAACTACCTTTTTCTCTCAATTCTCATCACTCTTGGAATGTATGCCTGTTCTCATGATTCTGATTTCTCCAATTGGAAGGTCTCAAACACCAAATCTCCTATCTCTAAACTCACTTGCCTGGAAAGTTCAACCACCCTCTCCTGTGTTCTTCTTACCACCTCTGAGTACTAAAGAGACAGTGGAGTGCACCCTACCCATCCCCAGCCTCTCACCTCTTTTGAACGATCAGTTCACTGCAAGCTTCACAAAGAGGATCTTCTAGATATCCCAGAGGTATCAAAAACTAAACTCCCTTTTCCTCAAAAGAACATCTTTTTCAATCTAATTCATATTGTCAAAAGTATGGCCATATATCTGGCTAATGACTTAATAGTGTTGATTTCTTTGCTCTTCCACAAATCACACCCTAAAATCACATCAGTAAACAAGACAGGTTTGGCTCAATGAATAGAGCATCAGCCTGCAGACTGAAGGGTCCCAGGTTCGATTCCGGTCAAGAGCACATGCCCAGGTTGTGGGCTTGATCCCCATTGATGCTTCTATCTCCCTCTCCCTCTCCTTTCCTCTCTGAAATAAAAAATAAAAATTTTAAAAAAAAAGACAAGCAGCAATGGCCGCATTAATTTTATCACTACCTGCCCTAACCAGTTTGGCTCAGTGGATAGATCGTCAGCCTGCGAACTGAAGGGTCCCAAGTTCGATTTCGATCAAGGACATGTACCTTGGTTGCAGGCACATCCCCAGTAGGGGGTGTGCAGGAGGCAGCTGATCGATGTTTCTCTCTCATCAATGTTTCTAACGCTCTATCCCTCTCCCTTCCTCTCTGTAAAAAAATCAATAAAATATCTTTTTTTTTAAAAAATTTTATCACTACCACCGATGGTTCTCAATCAAAATCCAAATCACTGAAAAAAATGCCAAATGGTCTTTACTAGCAAGTTTTTCCTAAGCATTTTCATTATACTATGAAATCAGAATGGTATTGATATACACTGACCTAATAAAATAAAATGCTGTATTTTAATCATCAGGAATTATCTTGAGAACCTTACCTTTATACCTGTTAATCCAGTAGGTAATTGCACAATATCATATGCAAGGTTAGATTTTTCTGCCTCCACAAACGGATCAGAGAATGCTCGGCCATGGAATCTTTTAAATCCCTGGACTGTGTTCTTTGCATTGGAAATGATCTAAGAGAAAAGAAAGCTGAATCAAAAAGTAGAAAGACTGATACCAATTAAATTAGGAAAAAAGAAAATCAATAGCATCAGATTAAATTAGCATCATTGTAACTCCACAAAGTTTCCTTTTGAGTTTCAGTTTTCTTCAGCACTAAACTTTTCTGAATGAGGACTAGCACGTGAAATGAGGCTTGAAGGGTGAGGAACTTGAACAAGTAACACAGAGATCACAGACAGTCCCGCTTGTCCTGCTTCTCCATATAGACAGGTCATTATACTTACAAAAGTATTTACCACCTTAAAATTCCAAAACATTTACACATAATGACTTTTATTAGCTTTTAAAAATTACTCACAGTTTGTGATTCAAGCTTTCCAGGAGTCAGTATGGAAGTATGTGTCAATTCAGAAACTCTAGTGAAAGAAACTTACCATACTGACAGAGTATCTATATCCTATCTAATAAAAGAGAAACATGGTAATTAGCCATACAGCCACTACCCTTCCCATTGGCTAATCACTGAGATATGCAAATTAACTGCCAACCAAGATGGCGGCCGGCAGCCAGGCAGCTGACGCAAACAGGGAGGCTTGCTTGCTCCAGTGACTGAGGAAGCCAGGTTCCCCACCTGCCTTGCCGGCCTCTCAGCTGCTCTCTAAGAAACATTGTAACAAATATAGAAGCTCAACAAAATCCCAGAAACCTCCTTTCAGTCAGCCAGGCTTCAGCCAGCAGGACCGCAACATTGTGTCAAATACAGAAGGTAAACAAAGGCCGGAAACCTGCTTTCAGCAGCCGAGCCTCAAGAGCTAAAGCTGGCCCAGAATAAAAAAAAAGAAAAGAAAAAAAAGAGCGGTTGGGAGCTTCAGTCACCCGCCAGCCTGAAAACAGCCCTCAGCCCCTCACCCAGGCTGGCCAGGCACCCCAGTGGGGACCCCCACCCTGATCTAGGACACCCTTCAGGGCAAACCAGCCGGCCCCCACCCGTGCACCAGGCCTCTATCCTATACAGTAAAAGGGTAATATGCCTCCCAGCACCGGGATCAGCGGAGTCGCGAGGCCTCCCAGCACCGGGATCAGCGTGACAGGGGGCAGCGCCCAAACCCCCTGATCGCCCTGCGGCTCTGTGTGTGTTACAGGGGGCGGGGCCACAACCCCCTATCCGCCCTGCTCTGTTCGCGACAGGGGAAGGCGCCCCAACCCGCTGATCAGCCCTGCTCTGTGCCTGATAGGGGGGAGCTCCCCAACCCCCTGGTCGCCCTGCGGCTCTGTGTGTGACAGGGTGCGGCGCCCCAATCCTCCCGCCCCCCACGGGCCCTGCTCTGTGTGTGACACGGTAGAGCCATAACCTCCCCATCAGCCCTGCCCTGAGTGTGAGAGTGGCGGAGCCCCAACCCCCTGATCCGCCCTGCTCTGTGTGTGACAGGGGGCGGTGCCCCAACTCCCCTATCGGCCCTACTCTGTGAGTGACAGGGGAGAGCTCCCCAACCCCCTGATGAGCCCTGCTCTGTGCATGACAGGGGGTGGCGCCGCAACCTCCCCATCAACCCTGCCTTGAGTGTGACAGGGGGCAGTGCCCCAAACCCCCAATCGGCCCTACCCTGAGCGTGACTGAGGGTGGCATCGCAACCTCCCAATCCGCCCTGCTCTGTGCATGACAGGGGGCGGCGCCCCAACTCCCCAATCGGCCCTGCTCTGAGCCCGACCAGGGGCTGCACCTAGGGATTGGGCCTGCCCTCTGCCACCCGGGAGCAGGCCTAAGCCAGCAGGTCGTTATCTCCCGAGGGGTCCCAGACTGCGAGAGGGCACAGGCCGGGCTGAGGGACCCCCCTCCCACCACTCCCGAGTGCACAAATTTTTGTGCACCGGGCCTCTAGTATATATGTAAAAGGCTAATATGCAAAGTGTCCCCTTGGGAGTTTGACCAGGAGTTCGATCACTTGCAATGACATGTGCTGACCACCAGGGGCAGCGCAGAACAAAGGAAGGCCCCAGCTGGCAGCTGGAAGGCCCTGATCAGCCCTGATCGCTGGCCAGGCATAGGAATTTCGTGCACTGGGCCTCTAGTTATTTATAATACCAGAAAACTAGAAATAGCCTAAATGTGTATAGGTAAATAAATTACGGTATAGCTATATAGTGGGCAAGATTATTTTAGGACGTTGGAAGACAAGTATCTATATAGTATGACTTCACTTTTGTAGGAGAGAAGCTATTTATATGCTTAGAAAGGGTACAAAAGGTTACACATTCAGATACTAAGTGATTTTTGGATGGTGGTAGTACAGTAACTTCCAAATTCCCTATAATATTCTATCTATATATTTTTTATTTCTCTACAATAAACTACTATAATTTACGAGAGGAAAAAACACTGGCAAAGACATTCAAAAAATTCAAGAATGAACTTGTGCTTAAACTCCTCTTCTGAATGCCAGAGCTAAGTGTACCAAGCCCTAAGGATAAGCTACAGAGCCCCTCTGCATCAGGTATGTCCAAGGGCCCACACAGAAGACTTTTTGTAAAACAATGCCTCCCAAATCAGGCCCAGCTTCAGCAAGCTGCCAAGTAGAAACTCAATACCACAATTAACTATGTCAACCAAGAACTAGGCAGCCAATTTAATATAATAACTATTCTCAATAATGAAAGAAAATTTTAAAAACAGGAAGAATTCACTGAAATTTTAGAAGAAAAGACATTCAATACAGCTGTGTACTTGCTATCTACTGCCTCCTAAAACATCTTGAACTTTTTAAAAATAAGATTATAAAACACCTGGTTTAATTAATAATCAACTGGCCAACCACCATTTTCTTAGGCTTATGAATTTTAGGCCCTTCTGGGTCCAGAAAGAGAGACAAGTATTCATTCTATATTTTGCCCCAAATTGAACCATAAAAAGATTAAATATGCAACTCCTTAATGTCACAGCAACCTCAGACACTCAGGATAACAGAACTCTTGGGATTCTGCTGCTCTGAAACCAGCAAATATGTCAGATACCTAGTTTACAAAATAAAGTAATGGTAAGTTAATGTGTTTCTACAAGTATGCTTTCCTTCCTTGAGAACCTTGATTAACAAGATCTAATCTAGAAACAACAATGACCCTCAATATTAGTAAGAAAGGCCCAAGGAGACGACTTTAAAGAGCATTTTAAACATCAAGGAACAAGCAAGCCTGTTTAAAACAAGTTCTGGGCAAAATACATCCTAGCAGTTTGCATTAAACAGATTATACTGTTCATGCTGTTCACTCAAGTACATGCAAATAGGGATAAGTCTGTCTCACATGCATGCACTGCCCTACCAGTGCTAGACACATAATGAGCACGCAAATAGTTGCTAAATGGAGCGAGGGATAAACCAGAAAAATAACTCATTTTAGGAAAAAACGAAACTCTACCTACCTGGCTTTTAGCTGCTGCTCCAATTGACCGATTCTTAGGACCAAAAGAAATGCAAGCCCTAGAAGATAAAACAAACATTTTAGTATATTACATCCTAAATTAATGCAACATTACAGTACATCCACAACCATACCAGGCAAGAATTCTGTCTTCACTAAAAAACCGTTTATTTTATCAGCACACAGTAAGTCTATGACTTTAACCTTTATAGTGTTCAGTAAAACTGTCCACAGAATAGGTTGCCTCTTAAAATAATTGGAGTCCTCTCATTTACATGTTGCAGTTTTATGTGATGACAATCTGTCTAAAATACTAGAGTTGGACTAGCCAGTCTCCACTCTCCTCTCATTCTTGAAGTCTGATGTTCAAATCCCAACATAAAATAATGTACCCTCATATCAATTCATCAATTAAATGTTCTTTGTTTTTTAAAACAACTTATAACTACAAAAAGAGAACAGCCTATAAATTCTGAAAACTCTTGTCCTTTAGTATATAAATAAAAAGTAATTTTTCTAGAAGTAGCTTCTGAGGACTCAACTTCTGACAAAGAACTTCATTCCCACTTCTGAACACATTCTTCCAAATCACCTATTCATATACTGCCTTTTGGTATGACCTATTTGCTGCTTAATTTAGAAAGCGAAACTGAAGCCTGCTTAAAGGTAAACTACTTTAAAATACTATGCTTAAGCTTAAAGTCAGCTATATTGGAGTTGAAGCTTTTGCTATCATGACCCCTATGCATCACTCTTCGTTTTTTATTCTAATTAATCCCTATGTTACCCTGTATTCCCTTAATTTTCATATATCTGTCACCTCCCTTTACAGTAGCTGCTTTCTCTTAAGCTATAAAATCAAATTTACTGCCACCACCTAAAAAAAATCCCAAAAGACATAGCTCTTCCAAGAGTCTATTTCCCCTTAAGGTAGTAAAGCCCACTTTCTTCTGCTTTAATTATCATGAATGCATAAATTGCTCATATGTAGTATCTCACTTAATCCCCATCAACACCCTATCTTATTCCCATTTTATAGGAAACTGAGATCAAAAAGGCATTAAGTAAATTTATCCAGGGCCATATAATCAGAAAGCAATGGAGTAAGATCATTTCTCCATACTTTACATTCTATTTTTGGCTTTCTCTATCCTCCCTGGAAACCTACTTCTTTCAATTTAGCAGAGTAAGAAATAGGGCTCTGAAGTCATACTGCATTGGTCCAAATCTGAATATTTAAATGACCTTACTAATTAAATTAAGTAAAATTGTACTTAAATTTACTAGCCCTATGCATAGGGGTAGAATGCTGGGCCTCTCTGGACCTCTGTGGCCCTTTTCAACCAATGGGGTAAGTGAGAACCCTGTGAGCTAATCTCCCAGAGCAGTTATGGTTTAGCTTGGTATCATCAGATTTCCTCTGAATCCTACACTCTGTGGGGCTAGAACATGCTGGGCATAGCCCCTCAAGAAGCTCAGCCTTCCTGCATCTATACCAATCACGAAAAATTTTTTTAAATGTATTTTTACTAGAGGCCCGGTGCACAAAAATTTGTGCACTTGCGGGGGGGGGGGGGGGACCTCAGCCCGGCCTGTGCCCTCTCGCAGTCTGGGACCCCTCAGGGGATGACCACCTGCTGGCTTAGGCTTGCTCCCTGGGGGGACTGGGCCTAAGATGGCAATCAGACATCCCTCTGGCAGCCCAGCAGCCCTCGAGGGATGTCCACTTGCCAGCGGGGAGCAGACCTAAGCTGCAGTCAGACATCCTTAGTGCTGCTGAGGAGGCAGGAGAGGCTCCCACCACGACCGCTGTACTGGCAGCCGTCAGCCTGGCTTGTGGCTGAGCAGAGCTCCTCCCATGTGAGAGCACCCTGACCACCAGAGGGCAGCTTCTGCATTGAGCCTCTGCCTCCTGGTGGTCACTGTGTGTCATAGTGACGAGTCATTCCCAGTCATTCTGCTGTTAGGGTCAGTTTGCATATTACCCTTTTACTATATAGGATAGAGGCCTGGTGCACAGGTGGGGGGCGGCTGGTTTGCCCTGAAGGGTGTCCCGGATCAGGGTGGGGGTCCCACTTGGGTGCCAGGCCAGCCTGGGTGAGGGGCTGATGGCTGTTTGCAGCTGGTCACATCCCCTTAAGGGTGGCAGTCCCCACTGGGGTGCCTAGCCAGTCTGGGTGAGGGGCTGAGGGCAGTTTTCAGGCTGGCCAGTGACTGAAGCTCCCAGTCTCTCCTTTTTTCTTTTTTTTCTTTTTTTATTCTGGGGTTTATTTACCTTCTATAATTGAAACATTGTTGCCATCACTGGCGCTCCCAGCTCTGAGGCCATGGCCAGCTGAAAGCAGGTATCTGGCATTTGTTTAGCTTCTATAATTGAAACATTGTTGCTTTCAGGCTCAGAGCCAGGCCACAGCAGGCAGGGAACCTTGGCTTCCTCCATCACTGGAGCAAGCAAGCCTCGTGTTCGCTTCAGCTGTGTGGCTGCCGGCCGCCATCTTTGTTGGCAGTTAATTTGCATAACGCCCTTATTAGCCCATGGGAAGCGTAGCGGAGGTACGGTTAATTACCCTTTTTGTCTTTTATTAGATAGGATTGGCTGACGCCATTTTGGGGCTCAGCCGATCTGGTTTTCCAGATGACCTAATAAATTCTTAATTCTTTACCAAAAAAAAACAAAAAAAAAACGATATATATATATATATATATATATATATATATATATATATATATATATATATTTTATTGGTTTCAGAGAGGAAGGGAAAGGGGGAGAGATAGGGGGTCGAGGCAGAAACCCAGGCATGTGCCCTGGCGGGTATTTGAACCTCAATCTCCTGGTTCATAGGTCGATGCTCAACCACTGAGCCACTGTGACAGGGCTACCAATCACTATAATTTTTAAAGTTTTCTGAGCACCACTTAAATACCTCTGCTATCACAGCCTATAAGTGCCCTTCAGGAAATTAACCAAATCTTACCACTCCATTCACTCTCTCCTCTCCTAAGCCTATCGATTGGTAAAACTACATCTTTCTAAAAACTACCAGATCTAATTTCCTAAAGTGTATACCACCAATACCTCAATCTCAACATAACTAAAAGGGAATGTTAATTATTTTTCATTGTTTTCTGCAGCCCTCTTTTCAAACCTCCATCTCAAAACAATTACTAGCTCCAAGAATAAAAAACATTTACGTTCCCAACTTTCCTGTATATCTTGTTGAAAGGTTAATTTCCTATTCTATCTAGATAACTCTAGAAGCAAGAGCTTCTAATTACCTTACCAAGAAAACCAATAACCAAGAAATAAAGCCCAGATTCTTTACGTCTTTTACCATCCTAACCCTATCCCATCTTCCAACTGCACCTCCATGCACATAGTAACACCCAACTCAATTTAATCAGTCTTCCAATTTTCCTGCTTTGCTCATGCCACTTTTGTCACCTGAAATGCTCTGGTCCCTTCTAAATCAGTCATTCTCCAGAAATATCACCCACTCCGTCTGTGAAGCCTTCCAACTCCCCTCAGGTAAAAATTAATCATTCCTACTTATTAAAACTTGTTGGACTTTGGGCAATGCAGATATAAACTATTTCCAACATCACAGAATATTCTACGGCACAAAGCTGCTCTAAGTAATTTTCCTTGAAGTCAGTTAACAGTTTCACTTACTTTTAAAATCTACATCTGCCTTTTTAACAGTAAGAAGTGTTTCATACATCTTGAAAAGCTAAATGAAAGTTTGTATCAGTTCAAATTATTCATCTTTTTTTTTTTTTTTGGTCTATGTATACACACACTACAAATAGTTCCCAACTTCTTACAAAGCAACCAAATGTTACTAATAGAACATCAATCTTCACTACATAATACAGCAGTAACACCTCAAACAAAGTATATAACTCCTGTAAAGTATAGGAAATGTCCACACTTTTCTTACCATATCATAGAAAATCAATATAGTATCACTACTTAATTCTTACATTCTAAAAATGCTCCTTAACAATAAGCCATCCATTGCACCAAAAAAAGAAATCCTTAGGGGGGAAAAAAGAAGAAATCAACTTGACTGAACACATATGCAGTAAAAAGAGCTAAGGGTCTAGAATTAAACAGTCTCAGTCTACCAAATCCCTTCTCTGCCTTTCTAACTGTGTGACCTCTGTGTTGCTTAACCTGACATTCAATTCCTCATCTCTAAAATGGGGAAATTATAGCACCTCCCTCATATGGTTGCTATAGATTAAATTTTGTTGATCCACTTATAAAGGGCTTATATTAGAGTCTGGCATATAATAAACTAGGAGCCCAGCGATCGATTCAAAATCACACGGCGCCGCCCCCCCCTCGAGTCACTGGTCCAGCCCCGCCTCCCTCTCAGGCCCTTGAAGCAGCCACAGCCGGGGCTGATCAGGCCCTCCCCCAGCCCAGGAACAAGGAGGCCCCTGCCGCCCCTGCCGCCCCTGCCCCCCACACACACACTGCGTGTACAACCTCCTCCTCCTGTCAGGTCCACCCATTACGTTGTCCCAGTTAATTAGCATATTTATCTATTTTATAGATAGATATAGATAGATAGATATTAAAATATTAGCTATTATTATAGATAGATAGATAGATATTAAAATATTAGCTATTATTATAGCTCCAGTGAAGCCCTGATCTGAGTTTCATACAAAAATATACCTACCGCCGAAACCAGTTTGGCTCAGTGGATAGAGCGTCGGCCTGTGGACTGAAAGGTCCCAGGTTCGATTCCGGTCAAGGGCATGTACCTGGGTTGCGGGCACATCCCCAGTAGGAGATGTGCAGGAGGCAGCTGATTGATGTTTCTCTCTCATCGATGTTTCTAACTCTCTCTCTCTCTCCCTTCCTCTCTGTAAAAAATCAATAAAATATATTAAAAATATATATATACCTACCAGTATTCTATGAAAATTCTGCTTCACCTTCTCAAACTGTCCACTAAAATCCAGTCATCTTTAAAATCATTTATCCATGAGAAATAAAAAAATACTACTTTAATTAAAAAAGAACAATTTAATGACCAATATGTCC